GCTCTTGGGGGAAACAGAGTATTTAGCCAATAACATCTAGGCTTTTATCGACCTGAGACTGTCTGAACGGACGGGAGGCTTTAAGCAGTAATTCCTGCTAGTTCCAATTCCATTTTTAGACTCGACAAACCAAATGGTAAACCTGCACCAGTAGGGAGGGACATTGGACGTTCTCCTTTTTAGAGACAAGCTAATGAAAAAGTTTCAGCAGAATCATAGCAGGCTGTAAAATAAGAAAAGCATCATGAAAAGAGGCCAATCCTATCCTCTTAGTATTGCTAGTTGTGATTGGACATGAATGAAATGTGTCAACTCTGTGTTCCTGGGTAACATCAGTAACAGCTACTTCAGCTGCTGTAGTTGTCTCCTAAAGCTAAGAACAGAATCCAAAGAATTGTGATTCCATGGTCCCAATTCACCCTGTGATGGTGACAGGTGAAAAAGGAGTGGAAGGTGCACAGGTAAATGAACTTGAATGGCCTATCTAAATCAGCAGCCACTGATTTCCTGAAAACTTCAACAGGTCAGTTGACCTGTTGGGATTCTTTTAATCTTTGGTCATGTTTTTCTTGGGATTCTTGTAACCTTTCCCCATTCGTTCAGCCTTTGCCCTCAAGCCTTTGCTGACGTTTCAAGTATCTCGACAAGCTGGAAATGTGTTGTCTTTCTTTATCATGTCATTATTCCCTTCAAAGGGTTGTTTGCCTCAAGTCTTATTTTTGCTGGTTTTCTGCTAGTTCATTGTCAGAGGGCAGCAGGTGTTTTGTAAGAGCAAGTACACAATCCTATAGCTTGCTTTTCTTTTGATTTGACCTGTCTAGAAAACTGAATGACGGAACATTTCCGACAGAATTTTCTCTCCCCATTATATTTCACCGGAAGGGCAGATGCAAATCATCTACTTAAACTCTTGGCACGGAAGAAAGTAGTGGTTTGCTGCTGCATATAGGTAGAAGCTTACAAAAGGAAGGCCTTGGGCTGAGGCCCGTTACTTTGGCTAAGTAGAAAAGGACTATGGGAAGGTGAGGCCGCTGAATCAGAGGTAGATCAACAAGTTCTAGAATGGTCACGTGTTCACAGCGTGGTGTATGATGGTTGGTTGAATGAATTTTGTTATGGCTTAAAGCTATGGAACTGATAAAGGCCTGAGTGCTTCAAAAGCATGGTTTTTGCAAAAAAGCAGCTCTCCTCTGCACCTGCCTGGGGACTCTGCATCACTAGGGACCCTCACTCCCAGTTTGCCAAGGAGATGATCAGTAGGAATGTTGCAGAGCTGCTGTGTCCATATGAACGGAATGGCAAAGAATGAAGCGGTGGGTAGTTTTGGGCTTTAATACAATGCTGCTGCATTGGTGCCAGCTTAGTCGGTTTTCCATCAGTGGCCTTTCTGTCTAGAAGTACACTGCCCAGAGTCTTTCTAGCATGTGATGCCATTTCCTTCCTGTTGTTTAAATACCTTCCTTCAGTTGAAAGGATGATACAATCTTTACATTTTGAAGATCCCTGTTAGGAAACACTATGCCAGAGGAGTCATTGCTCCCTTTTCTTCTGCCTCCTTTGTAATTTTCAGAGACTCATTTCAAATTTCTGCTAATGTCGAGAAGAATACTGAGACTACTCAGCAGGGTTGACGCTCTCAGCTGCTTTCCTCTTTCATACTGCTTCATACTGGATGTGACTTAATGGCCTGGTTTTGTCATCCACATTTTACTGTGATCTGTGAACACAAAAAGAAGTCTTTGTTTTTTGCAAGAACTACCCCAGGAGGATTTGTGTTCATTTTGATTTCTACGGTGTTAGCCCTGTTGCAGATAAAAAGGAGATTATACTCTCTTCTTGTGTACTCTCTTCTTGTGCTCTCATTCCCTCCTCTCTGCTTTGCATGTCCTAGTTAATCTACAGGCGTGACTCATTTGGCATCATCTCATAGTGCAAATTCTGCACAGTTTCATGGACTTACAAATGCCAGGTGCCATATAACCATTCAAAGATTAAAGAATTGTAGGGCTGGGCAAGTTCATTTTTATTTCTTTCATATAAATATGTGAAATACACTCTCTTTAGTGTATAATGTATATTGATGTATATTTATTCATTTCTATTTATAAATAAATTTATACTCTATATTACATCTATCCCTAGTACTTAAATTATTTTCTATATTTTTATACATATTTTTATATAGTAAGTATATATTTGTTAGAATTTTTGCTTCTGTAACGCTTATATTATTTAAAATAATTCCCCTGCCTCTACCCGGATAAAAGCCAAAAAGAACCCCTTTATTTCGACTGTATTTAAATTTGTAAAAAAAAAAATTTTCATATTTATATCCACATTTATATTTCAAATGTATATTGATGTATAATGTTTATCTTTACATTTATAATTTCAGATTTATTTATAAATTTATATTCTATTTTACATCTGTTCCTATTATTTCTATTTATGTCTATCTTTTCATTCATATCTTTCTATATTTAATATATATTTCTGTGTTAGGATTTTTACTTCTGTAACGTTTACATTATTTAAAATCAAACCCCTGCCTCTACGTAAATTAAAGCCAAAAAGAACCCCTTTCTTTTCAACTGTATTTCAATATTTTTTAGAATTGTATTTTTCAGGTTCATATTCAGATTTACATTTAAAATGTATATCAATGTATACTGTTATTTGTATTCTATATTACAACTCTTCCTATTATTTATATTTACTTATATTTTATATTTATATATATTTATATCTTGATTATCTATCTCAATATTTAGAAACGGGTAAGAGTAATATCTATATTCATATTATTTAAAATTAAAACCCTGCCTCTAACCCAATAAGAACCAAAAAAACCCCAACCCTTTCTTTTAGACAATATTTAAATAGATTTTACTGCTATGTTTTCATATTTATATTCACATTTATATTTATAATATGTATTGCTTACTTATACATTAATCTCTATAAATGTCAATTTATAAATAAATTTACATTCTCTATTACATCTATTGCAAGGACATACTTATATATTTTTATACGTATTTTGATTTATTGATTATCTATTTCTGTGTTAAGATTTTTACTTTTGTAACATTGTATTAGTTAAAATAAAACTCCTGCCTCTACTAGAATAAAAGCCAAAAAATTCCCTTTCTTTCAAACTATATTTACATATTTTTATATTTCTATTCCCATTTATCATTTATATTGCCGTATAAGGTCATTTATATTCTATACTACAACTCTTCATATTACTTACATAGATTTAGATTTAAATTTATATCCATATTTTCATAATTTCTCTCTCTATACTTATGATAGATTTCTATCTTAAGATTCACATTTCTATAATACTCCTATTATTTCAAATAAAACCCCTGCCTCCAACCAAATAAAAACCAGACACCTCTTTATTTCACCCATATCTAAAATTCTAAAAATAATTTTATTTTTCATAATTCTATTCACATTTACATTTATAATTTTTATTTATTATATTTGAAGGTATTATATATATTAGAGAAAATACCTTTTAATATAATAACAGATATATTATTTTTATATCCTATATATTCTTTTACTTCTATTTCTTTATATTAAATATTTAGAGATATCGGTATATATGTTATATATTTGTATATCTGGATTTTTATTTTTATATTATTTCTATTTATAAAAAAAAAACAGCCTATAACCTAATAAAAACCAAAAAATCCCCCATTTCTTTTAACTCTATCTAAATATTTTTATATTTACAACCTATCTTTATATATCTTTGTATATATATATAATAGACTATCATTTCTATATATTATCATATGTTACAATAATATACTATATAGTATAGTTTTATGTGTTTATCTATTTGTTTTCTATATTTATGTTTACAACTATCATTTTATATTTATTTTTATATTTATATTTATTTCTACTTTAATCTATATATTAGACCATATCAATTCATTAACCTAATGCATCAGAACCACAAAAATACTGCACCTTCGTCAGCACTGGTACGCAGCCCACACTCATCCCATTGCAGCATATCCAAACAAAACCTATTTCTAGTACTAACAGAACAAAGACCCCACAACATTTAACCCTAAGAAAATCTCAAATCAACCGAACTGTCAAGACATTTGAAATCCCACTATAACTAGCCCAAAAGCTCCGTACATTCTCATCATAAACTTCCTCCTAAACCAATGGCTCAAAAACCCAAAAAACTCAGATACACATTGAAAATGACAGAACTGCTAGTAAAAACAAACACCCATTAAAAATTATATCCAACCAACTCACTAAACTCAAAACCCTACAAGTGACCCTAAACATTACTAAAAAATGCCCCCAAAGCTCTACCTTTATGCTAACTCACAAATAATAACCAATCATCTAGAAAGGTTATCTTCAAAATTTTAAAACAACTCATTAAAAGCATGAAAATAAAAAAATCGAAACTATTAAAATACTAAAAAATATCACTACCCAAATTGAAAGACATATTGCCTCTAGAAACCCACCGTACAAATGCCCCTGTCCCCCAAAAGAAAACCAGAAACAAAACAGCAGAGCAGAAAGAAATCGGAACTTAGGAACGCTAAAACCAGAACGTTCAAGAAGTTCCACCATATCCCTGATCATACACCAACTACAAACAACGTGAAACAATACAAACAATTCTTAAAAACCGCCTTAAAACCACTACATTAAAAACCCTTTCAACAATTAAAAACTGCATTTAACAAAAGCCATCCAATAAATTAACACCCAAAACTCCAGCAGCCCAGCTGGCCCTACCAAATCTCTCTGTTGATACATACAGTAAACAAAACCAAAATCCCAGTAATACCTATCAGAAGTCTAGGAAAGAAGCCTCTTGAAATTAATCCTACCTCAAATACAAACCAACCCATCCAGAAAGTTAGCTTCACTCAAAAAACTATTTACACAGAGTTAATAAGACCAAGAAATAAAACAACACACCATATACCACCAACGAATAGAACAGTGAAGGAAAAAAACCCACGTTTTTTTCTTTTTTTTATTTCAACTAACTTCCTTTATTAGCTAGAACCAAAGATTTTGCCGGGCTGTAACAACAACAACTTCTTTTTCTTCTTCTCCTTCTGAAATGTCCCTTCTCCTTCCCAAATTCTTTACAACTTCTGAGTTTAAATCCAAGCAAAAAGCAAAATTCGTGCACTTGTGAGTCCAGTGCTCCTGTCAGATTCTCTGTCTCACTCCACATCTTCTTACACTTTCAGTCTGAACGCTGTCCTGCCCTGATGAGTTTGACAGAAGAATTGGCACATGTTAAGAGAGCATTTCCCTCCCTCCGTCCCTCCCTCCCTCCCTCCCTCCCTCCCTCCCTCCCCAGAGCTGGTTTCCTTAGCGCATTTCAATCAATCCCAAGCCCGCAATGATGCGCGCTCACCTCAAGGCTCACAGCAAGCATGCCGCAGCTCAGGCTTACTTGGCTCCAGGGCTCCGTGCCTTAGAGAGCTGAGAAAACTTCCCATGAACCTTGTTCCAAGACATTGGAATGCAAACTCAGCTCCGTCTCAGCGGGAGGCAGGAGCACATCTGGCTGAGCCACAAAAAATCCCTTCTTGGGCGGCTGCACTCTGCCAGAAAGGGGAAACACGTGCTAGTGAACAGCAGCTCAGAAACAATTCTTTTCTAATGTTACCTGCTCTACTTGACTGCTCACTAACACAAGTCTCATTTTACCATTGCAGGGAGAAGGCTGTAGGAAAATGTCTGATGAGCAGCCACAAAAGCCTCACTCCCTGCTACACAGCCTGCAACACCCTTGGCAGAGCGGAGCAGCAAAATCACCACACTCTCCTTGCCATGGGCAAGGGTAGAAGATTACTGGAGGAGGCATATAAAAAGAAGGGAAACGCTCCTATAAATGCACAGCCATTTGCTTTCAGACGCCCAGAGTTCAGGATCTTCTCTAAGAAGCCAGACATGACATGATATTTCTAAGATTTTCTTCTTCACCGAAGGAAATGTATGTACATACACACTCTTACAAATGTACCTACCGTTTTGGGGTTTTTTTTTTCTTCTGAAGCTCCAAGAATGATTTCCCATCTTGAGTCATTCAGAAAAACGGCCCCTGTGACTCAGGACAGAAGGGCGGCCTGCGTTTTTGATCACAACAGCTTTTGGGTTTACCCTGTGAGCAGGAGCAGCAAGAGCTGAGGCTCAGCAGAGGCTGACCCCGGCCAGCCCCTTCCTCCCTTCCCTGTGTCACAATGACTTCCAGGCAGAAGGATGCAAAGCAGGTTTTTGTCTTTTCTCTTGAGTGCCAATAGGTAGAAGATGTAGGCTTTGAAATAACTTATGACCCTCTCTTTGAACTCTCCCAAGGACAGTTTGAAAGAAAAGACAGAAGATTGCTGCTAAATCCGTATCGAATAAGGATGAGAGCAGCAAGGATCCGAGGCCAGCGGCGTTGCCAGGCAGTGTCACGTCCCTGCCACCTTGTGACAAGGCACACAGCTGCAAAGCCCCAAAGCCTGCAAGCCCTGCAGCTCCGCATGGATGGACCTGGTTCCCTTCCCAGGTGTCCCCCCTCCGGAGGGTGCACCCAGAGCCCCGGGCAGGGACGGAGTCACTGACGGCTCTCTAGGGACGAGACCCTCCCTGCAGGTGACACTGGCTTGTCCTCTCCCTGTGGGACAGGGACCTCCAGGCTCTATGACCAGCCTCATTTTGTCAGCATCCAGGTGCTGTGTTAGAGCCAGAGGGGTCAAGGCTTTCCAGAACCATAGGATCCTTGCAGTTGGAAAAGCCTTCTAAGGTCATCAAGCCCAGCTGCTGCCCCAGCACTGCCAAGCTGCCCCCCCAAATCAGGTCCCTAAACACCACATCTTAACATCCTTGAAATGTCTCCAGGCGTGGGGACTTCCCTGGGCAGCCTGCTCCTATGCCTGACCACCCTTTCAGTGAAGAAATTTTCCCTCCAATCCAATCTAAGCCTTTCCTGCTGCAAGTTGAGGCCATTTCCTCTTGCTGTGTCACTTCTTACCTGGGAGATCTCGGTACTTCAACCTTACCTGCTCGTTCCCTAGGAGGTCTCTGGCTTGGCTGGATGAGAGGAGAAACACTCCCGCCTCAGGAATGGTAGCTCAGGAGGTCCCACACCAAGGCCAGGGGGAGCAGCCGTCCTCACCAGAGCTTGCACGTCAGTTCTCAGAGATTGGCTCTGCTTTTCCTCCCGCGCAGATCTCTGCTGAGTGCTTCACAATTGCCTGTTTGGAGGAGGGGGGGGAAAAGAGGTTAGCCAAGTTTTTTATCCAGACTTAGCTGCTGGCTTTGCCTCCTCCTGACTTCCTTCTGCTAAGAAAACAGCTGCCTTTGGACTTCTAGGGGCAACTTGCACGTCATGCCTGAAAAGGAACTACAGAAAAGCGCCTCATTTATAAAGCCTCAGCCAAGAAGACAGATAATTGCAGCTTCTCCATGCCCACTGCCTGCAGAGCTGGCAGGCAACAGGCCAGCTCTGCTCCTCCTTCAAGTTGTTCCCAAGTCTGCTGGAAGAACTGAAGGCTACTTTGGCGTTCCATTGCTCTGCTTCTCCCGAGAAAGAGCTTTGAGTGTTGTTACCCCTCCAAGGGAAGGGCCTTTCTGTCTCACACGCTCGGTGACACAAGGCTACGCCAAGCTGCAGCAGCCTCTGCTCCAAGTGGGAAGGGCTTCCTTCCTCCTCTGGCACCTGGCTGGCACAGGGCACAGGTTGCTCAGAGGTGCTGGGGCTGCCCCATCCCTGCAAGTGTTCAAGGCCCATTGGTGCTCTGGGATGAGGCTCTGAGCAAGCTGCTCTATGGAAGCACGTCCTTGCCCGTGGTGGCAGCAGCCTTGGAATGAGGTGATCTTTAGAGCCCCTTCCAACCTGAATTATTCCATGATTCTGTGAACTGAAAAAAGCGGGGAAAGAAATCTGTAAAGGTCACTAAATGCATCAAAGCACATCCCCATTGATCCAATACTCAGCAGCCCATCCAGCCAAGGTCAGAGCTCTCTGCCCACCAAGGACACGGCAAGCAGCAGGGACCTTTCTCCCACTCTCCAGCACGGACCTGTGAAGCCAGAGAGAAGTTTACAGGGACCGGGAGGCAGTGGGACGGGACGGGCGACTGGTCTGACCTTGCAAAGCTGGCGGCAGAAAGGGCGGGCAGCGCCACAACCCCGCTCCGCCTCCTGCGCCGCCTGCCCGCCGCCGCCCCGCCGGGATTTTCCGGCCCGCCATCGCTTCCACCGCCTGGAGAGGGGCGTGCGCGGGCTCAGGGGGTGCAGCCCTGTTCCGACAGCACTCGCCCGCCCCCGCTCGCTGCCCCCGGCCCGCAGAGCGCTGCGACCGCGCCTCCGCCGTCCACCAAAAGCGGCACCGCCGGGCCGCCCCCCGCCCCCCCCGGCCATTCTTCTCAGCCATCATGTCCCTTTTGCGCTCCTGAATGTCCTTCACCCCTCCCAGCCATTTACCGACCCCGCCCCGCCTGCCCCCTGCTCCCACCCCACCCGCCCCCTGCTCTCACCCCTCGCCCTTGCCTCGCTCAGCAGCCGCGTCCTTGCCCCGCCCCCGGCAGCCAGCGGCGAGGGGCAGGGCGCTGGCTCGGGGGGCTGCAGTACCGCACTCTGGCCACAGGGCAGCAGACTCCCGGGTCCGCGATTTTCCCGCCCTTTCAGCCGCCACCTTGAGAAGGTCAAAGAAAGTCCACGACATTGGCGACCCGCCACCCCCAAGATGGCGGCCGAAGAAGACCCCCCCCACCCCCCCCTCGGCCGAGAGAGGCAGTTACGCAGATGCCTGTCAGAAACCCGCCAAAGTACGCCCGTCCGCGGCGCCGCTGAGCCCACAGCCCGTGTCGGGTACACCTGAAATGCAACAGAAAATCCCGCTGGGGCTGCGCCGATGTCGGTGTTCCATGCAGGCAGTCCAGATAGACAGACCAGGGTCCTCCATTTTCCCGCCCTTTTGGCTGCCATTTTGAGAAGGTCAAAGAAACTCCATGACATTGGCAACACGCCACTCCCACGATGGCGGCCGGGAGAGGACCCCCTCGGCCGAGAGAGGCGGTTACACAGATGCCTGTCAGAAACCCGCCGAAATACGCCCGTCCGCGGCGCCACTGAGCCCACAGCCGGTGTCGAGTACACCTGAAACGCCACAGAAAATCCCGTCCGGGCCACGTCGGTGTTCCGTGCAGGCAGTCCGGAAAGACAGATCAGGGTCCTCCATTTTCCCGCCCTTTTGGCCACCATTTTGAGAAGGTCAAACAAAGTCCGTCACACCCGAGAGGGCTCCCTGGCCATGGCGGGCTGCAGTACCGCGCTCTGCCCACAAGGCGGCAGCACTGCTGCCCACCCCAGCCGGGGGCGCCGCGCGCCTTGGGGCTGCTGGCAGGGAAGGTGGCAAAAAAGAACAGGGGCGATCCCCCCCAAAAAACTCCTCTAAAAATAAATGCCAAAAACCTGCCTCTTACCCAACAAGAACCAAACAAGCCCCCTTTCTTTCAAACCTTCTTTAAATAAATTTTATATTTCTAGTTTTCCTAGTTATATTCACACGCATATTTATACCGGACATTGATGCGTTATGTCATTTATACAATCTATTATGTCTATTCCTATTATCTGTATTTATTTATATTTTGTGGTTTTATCAATATCATTATGTATTGATTGTATATTTCTATACTTAGATTTAGATTTCTATCATACTTTTATTATTAAAAAAAAAAATCCCATCTCTACCCAAACAAATACCAAAAAACCCTTCTTTTAAACTATATTGAAATATTTTCATATTTATAGCTTGCATAATTATATTCACATTTATATTCACAGTTTATACTGATGCATTATATTCATAATTAGATATAATATATATATTATTCACATAATATAGATAAATTATTATTTTTATTATGCACCATATCTACTGCTACAACTTATTTTTTCTAATATTTTCAATTTTTATATCAATCTTGATGTATTCATGAAATATTTTTACAATTAGATTTCTACCTTTATATTATTTGTATTTGTAGTTTTTATAAAAAAACCCTGCTTTTGCCAAATAAAAAACAAAACCATCCTTTATTTTAAAATACTTTAAAAAATATTGTTGTATTTATATTTACCATATCTATAATGTTTTATATATTATATCATAGTGATGTACTATATTTATAGCTATTTCCTATAATATATTATAATAAGATATATACAGTATTACTTGTATTACGTGTTGTATGGATTTATGTCACTTTATATTTACAATTCTTTAATAATTTTATATCTATATCTGCATAGATTCGCAATACATTTCTATATTTAAAATTTCGTTTGAGTTGTGTTTATATTTATCATCTCTGTTTCTATATCTATAAACATACACAATACTCTATTAAAAATACAATACCTTATTGGAATATATCATGACTTACGTTACCTGTTAAATTTTAAATATAGACAGAATAGATCATAACAAAAGTTTATTCCCATTTCTACACATCTACTTGTTTTGTTTAAATATAGCTATCCTTAGAATTTTACATTTAAAATCCAATTCCTAAATACAATGACAAAACAAACAGCATTGAATTCCCACCAATATCTTCCAAAACCATCAAGATACCTCCACCAGCCAAACAACTGCCAGCGAAAAAAAACACACAACACTCTTTTCACTAACAGTTCTCACCAAATCAGAAAAATGGAACCAAACGAAAAGAAAACCCTTGAGAAACACACGCAGCAAATCACAAAAGCCTCTAAAAAAAAACCAAACCAATTTACTCAACTCCAAACAGTGCCACTGACCCTGATCGTTATTAAAAAAAACAACAAAATTCTACATCTACACTAACTCAAAGAATAAGCAATACTCTGTCAAACGAACTTTAGAAAGCGAACTAATTAACGAAATAAAAAAAAAATCTCAACCACTAAAAAATAAGAAAATAACTACCCAAATAAAAAAAACTACTTAAAAAGACCCACCATATAAATACCCACGTTCCCAAAAATAAAACTGATCAACAACAACAAAATACGTCAAAGGAAACAGAATTAAAATCCGGGCCGCTGCTTCACGCAACGACCCGTAAAAACCATTGCACGCCTTTAAAAACATAATAGCCCGGCAAAAAAATATATCCGACTACAAAATTCAATTCAAACCAAACCTTTATCGTCACCACCTGAACCGAGAACCGTACCAGTCAGGAAGAACGCCATAGCCCTTAGCGCACACCCACTGCGACCAAAACAAAACCGTGCGATCGATCCCTACAAAGCCCCTCCGAACCACGACACCCAAGAACTTGCGGCAGCCCAACCCCGCGCTGCCGGCCCCGGACGGAGCGCGGCTCCCGGCGGCAAAGCGGCTCCTCCGGCGGCTGCTCCGGCGCGCAGGGGCGGCGCCGCCCCGGAGACACCCCCCCCACCCCCCCCGCCCGCTCCCCCTGCCCGGGGGGCCCCGGCGGCGCCCGAGCCCCGCGCCCGGAGCGGACAGAGCGGCCGGCACCGGCCGGGCCGGCGCAGCAGCGCCCGCGCCGCCTCTGCCGCCCTTGGCCGGCCCGGCGCCAGCTGCCCTCGGCTCCGCACGGCGGCTCGCACCGGCAAAGCGGCTCCGCCGCTGCCGCGCCAAATTCCCCGTGCGCCTCGGCACCCGCCCGGCCCGGGCCGGCAGCGCTCCCGAGCGGCAACGCTCCGGGCCGGGCCGCGGCCACAAGAAGCGCCCTCAAATGCAGCGGCACAGCCCGACTGCAGCCCTGCAAACGCTGCCAGAGCTGCGGCTTCCCGCAACTGAACCCCGAAACTGACGCCGCAGGCGGCGCTCACCTCGCTTCAACAAGGGCAAAGAAATGTGTTCTCCCCTTCAAGTTCATCCCCTAGGAGAGCAGAAAGGAAGGGGCTTTCCTCCAATGAAATCCTTCAAGCGATGTGGAAAGGGGGATTTTGACCTCAATTCAAACCCTTGAAAAGGAGGGACACCAGCGCTGTCCCCTCAATTTAAACCTTAGGGGAATGAAAATGGGCTGGCTGCCTTCAAATCAAACCCATCAGATGACAACAATACTTTTCCCATTCCCGTTCAAATGGAACGCAGGGATTCCCTCTCCCCCCTGGGATACACTAACAGCCGGAAAATGGCAGGTTTTCCTTCAATCAACACCCTTAAAACCGCAAGTGAAGGCGGATCCCTCCCAGTTCAAACACAGACAATATTAGGAGAGTAGCTGCTTGCCTCTCCTTCATTTCTTTTGTCTTCACAAGCTCCGGTTTTGTTCCTGGGGGAGCGGGGACTGGCAAGATGAAATTGAAAAGGGAAAGGACAAAAGTCCCCGCTCCAAATCCACACGCGCTCACCTGCTCGGCTGCTGCTTCCCGGCACAAAGATTCGTTCCTCGGCACCTCCTTGAAGCGATGCTCCGCGTATCCAAGCGCGTATCCAGGTGTTCCCCCAGACGCTGCGAGAAGCTCTCGCAGTCCTTCCATGAGACAGCCCCGGGAGCCCCCCATGAACCCCTCTACTCAGCAGCTCCATGCAAAAGGGAGCCGAGGCAAAGCCTCCCCCTAAAACAGCCTCCCCTCGGCAGGAGCCGGCCCCTCATCATCCTCACAGCTCACACCTGGGGCTGCTCCGAGCCCCCCATCATCCTCACAGCTCACACCTGGCGCTGATGCCACTCCCCAACAGCGCCTCTCCCCGTCCAGCACACAGCCCGCTTCTCACAGACACAGAGCCAACAGAAATCTGCTCCGGGTGCTGGCTTTTCTTAGTCCGTCTGCTTCCACAATTCAGACACGGACGTGCGCTGATGGCACTGAGGGAAAGCTTTCCAGTGCACAAAACTGTCATTCTGGTAGCACGCTTTGAGACGCCTTCAGAAAAAGCAGAATCAGCGCCACCTCCTAAGAGCCCTGCTGAGGAACCCCGCCCTCCTTGGGACACCCAATGCAGCAGAGCTCGGAAAACGAGGGGAAAAGTCAAGCTTGGAGTGGAAAAAGAGAATATAAATACAGCAGCCGTTCAAAAAAGCCTTCAGACAGCAATAGTGGGAACCGGTCACATTTCTTCTTTCCTTGCTCTCTGTAATGACATAAATACGAAGTAAAAAACCCACACGAAACACAAGGCAGAGCTGGGATTTTACAGGTCTTCCTTTTGGCTCTCGGGATGACAAGCGCCTCTTCCGGGACTGCGACACGATTTGGGCGCTGGCAGAGAACGGAGGCAAAAGGTGCCAGAGAGCCCTTTCTATCGCCTTCAGCCCCTGCAGCTGTTCTGAGGGTTCCAGGGCACAGCTCGGTCCGTTCCTAGATCAAAACCTCACGGCAATATCTTCAGAACTACTACCCATCTCCAGTCGGAACTTCCTACATTCCTGTAAACAAATGAGTGCATAGAGAGGGTTTCTCCCCAGCTGAGTTCAGAGACAAATTCCTATTCTTTAGCAATACCTAGAAAACCGAATACCTTGTCAGGTTTTAGCATTCTACACCCACTCACCCCTCCCTGTGCATTTGGTGGCAGCTTTGGGTCCCTTTGGGGGACGGCACCCAGCGTGACCCTCCCCCTCCCCCCCCCCCCCTCGCCCGCCCCCCACCTGCTCCTGCACCGCCGTGGGGCTCCCTCTCCTGGGGACCTTGGGGTGCCCCCAACGGCATCAGAGCCCCGAGTCTTCACCTCGCCTTTCCCTGACCCCCAAAGAAGGCTCAGAACGAATCCGACTGCCCCGGACAGCAGCGCAGCGCTTCCCCCAAGCCCTTTCCACATGTACATGGCCCCAGCAAGGGATTCTGCTGCAACAAGAAAGGGGGGGCAGCCCCCAGAAGGGTTGAGGTTCCTGCCCAGCCTCGCTGTCACGGGCCAGGGGCAGCGAGAGAGGGAGCGGCACAGACGGCGGGGACGGCCCGGCACGGAGCGGGGGCCGCTCTCAGCGCGATGCCGGCAAAGCCGCAGCTCCGGCGCTGTCGGCCGCGCTGCTTGAGCGGCACGGGGGGATCCGCCGAGAGCCTCCGGCCCCGCGCGGGGACTCCCGCAAGGGCCCAGGGGCGCCGGGCTCCGGCCCTCGGGGCTTTATTCTCCGGCAGCCCGAGCCCCGCGGCTGCGGGGCAAAGAAGGAAACGGGGCACGGGAAGAGAGAAGCGAGAGCAGGGCATGAGAAAGGGCGGCGAGGGAGGTCGGGCTGTGGAGGAAAGCGGGACGGGAAGGGAAAGCCCGGGACGGGGGTAGAGAGAGGCTGGGCAGAGGAAGGAGAGAGGGGGAACAGAAGGGAGTAGCTGGCTAGGGACAGGACAGGAAGGAGCCGGGTTTGTGGGGGGAGAGGGAATGGGGGAAAGGGAGCGAGAGAAGGCGAATACGGGGAGAAGGAAGGAGGGCTAGAGAGAGGGACAGGCGGGGAAGCCTCCCAGAGCCCCGGCTGCACCCCGAGCCCGGCCCGGCGCCTCGCCCTGCCCGGGATGCTGCGGCGCTCGGCGGAGCTCGGCTCGCTCCGGAGACGCTCGGCTCCAGTCGGCTCTTCGGCTAAACTCGGCTATTATCGGCTAAACTCGGCTATTGTCGCCTGCATTCGCCTCTTCGGCGCGCCTCGGCTCCGCTCGCCTCGGCTCGGCGCGGACACGACGGGAGCGCGGGCTCGGGCAGGAGCTCATTAGGCTGGGACCGCACTGGCGCTAAGCAGCGCGCACGAGAGCAGCAGGCTCGCTTCGCCTGAGCTCGGCTCGCTTGGCTTCAGGCAGCCTCGGAAGCCTCGCCGCGGTTCGCTCGAGGTCGTCAGGTTCGGCCGCTCTCGCCTTGCTTCGGCCGAGCTCGTCCGATTCCCCCGAAGGCGGCGTCGTTCGTTTGTGTTTTTAGAAATATTTTTCTGTATTGATTGTATATTTCTATAGTTAGATTTATGTTTCTAGAATTAGAATTAGAATTCTATTAGTCCAAATAAAAACCCCATCTCTAACCAAATAAACACAACAAACCACCTTCTTTTAAACGATATCAAAATATTTTTATACTTTGTATAATTATATTCACATTATATTCACATCTGCCCTACCGACATTGCCACCATATCTTTTACCTCCCAAGCAAGGAAAGGCACTCCAAGTCACTTGGCTTTGCCTTGCCTCCAGTACCATGCCTAGTTTTCCTAGCCTTCCCTACCCTAGCTTTGCTTGCTTGCCTATGTCTGCCTTGCCTAGCCCTTCCAATAACTTCCTGGCTTTGCTTTGCCTTGCCTATCACTCTTTGCCTTGCCTTCCATGCAGGTAAGGCAATGCAAAGCAAGTGTAGGCAATTGTAGGCAAGTCAAGGGACAGGTTGGCAAGACTGAAGCCGTGAGGGGAAAGCAAATGGAATGGTAGGTGAGACAAGTGCCAGAAGTTAGAGGCAAGGCTGGGCATAGGAACTGATGGTAACCGGAAGGGCTAGGCAAGGAAAAACTGTAGGCAGGTCAAATGTGAGGCATGGGCATGCAAGGGAATGCAAAGCAATGGAGAATCAGCAGGACAAGGCAAGGAAACTGGTTGGTTGCCAAAGCAAGGCAAGTGGCAGGTCCATTCAAAGATTGCTGGTACACAAAAGCGGCCCGGACGGACCGCTCTGTCCAGCCTTGATCTTGCATGGGTCATGTCTAATCTGCACCTAAGACACTTGGGTTGCCTGCTTTCTTTTGTATGCAAAAGAACTGTCATTCTGCTCCTGAAGCCCAAGGGTGAAAGATGACCTTCGTGTCCAAAATTCAAGACATGTAAGGATAGATGTCAGAAGAAAGCTGTCAGGACAGATCGGTGTGCTTGCATGTGATCTCCTCCAGGCTTCCTCTCACATGCTCCCTGAAACACTGGGGCCTTGAGAAAAAAAGCCAGTGGAAGCCTGGAGAATACTAGGAGAAGCAGGCAGGGCAATGCAAGTTGAAGAAATTCCACAAAAAAAGAGGGGTGGTGAGTTCCAGGTGGGGGACTGTTGAGCAAGGTAATGCAAGGCAAGGAAGGGGTTCAAGGGCAAGGCAAGACAAGTGGTGGCTTTGCCAGGCAACACAAAAGAGAGGGAGGCAAGGCAATAAGAGTCCGAGAAGGAGAAGGAAATGAAAGATTGGAGCTGGACAAATGGGAAGGAAAAGAAGGATAGGTGAGCAAGTCAATACAAGGCACTGGGTTGGTATGAAGGGCAAGGGAAGGACATGCATGGGTCAGGAAGGCAAAGGAAAGGAAAGGAATGGTCAGCAATGACAAGGAAATGCAAGATTGGGTAGGAAAGGCAAGGCAATGTGGGGGAGGGATAGGCAACACAATGGGTATCTTAACAGGAAATGTCCATGCACAGCAAGGCCGAAGGAGAAGTGGTAGAGAGGTCAGGGTGGGAAATAGGTGAGTGCAGCTAAGAAAGAAAGAAAGTGCATAGCTCTCGTGTGTGTGTATGTGTATGAAGTTTGCAAGATGTAAAGCAAAGAAAGCTGTCTCTTGATTGTGGAGTAAATGGATGTTTTCAAGAGTAAGTGGCAAGGTCCAAGCAACCTTTTCATCCTGGTACATCTGTGTCTGTGAGACATAGTCAGAAACGTCTCCTTTTAGATTCAGACTGCAAGCAGGACATAGAATGTGACTGTGTGAATAGCTGAGCAGGAAGGCACATCACATGAGCACGTTTCAACAGAAGCAGTTTGTGCGAGAAGGAGATGGACGTGTGGGACTCCAGCAATATGGCAATGCACTCCGCTGAGAAGCAAAGTGCAATGCCTCGGTGTGTGCTCTGAAAATAAAAGGCTGCAAGGAAAAGGCAAGGGGACAGGTCAGTGAAAGCTTTCTGTCCTGGCACCCTGAGCTGTTTGAAGGTGAACCGCTGTTTGGTTTCACTAAGGACTCGGAGAGGATGTGCTTGTCCATGTAGCTGAGAAGGAAAGTGAGAATCACCGGTACGTTTGGCAGAGTTTGTAGGCTGCGAGGAGAAGGTGACGGCCAGGCCTGGCTTTTGGCTGTGGCACTTGTTGCAAGGAAGAAGCTGCTGGATGGTTTAAGCTTTTGGGGATCTGCAAGAGTGAAAGACTACGCTGGTACCTCATAAAACTAATGCTTGTTGATCATCTGGCTGAATCTATGACATAAACCAGAAGTGAAATTTCCCCCATTTGCCTCAGTTTTTTCACCTTTTCATCCAACAGCCCGAGCCTTTTTGAGACAGCTGTCAAACGCCTTGCCTTGAAGCTAGAAGTATCTCAGTTCACCTGCTAAGAAACACGGAAAAGAGCTCAAGTCAATTTCAGAATTGCCCTGAGCAGAGCTGGTGTTTCGGTACCGTAAATTTCCATTGCGAATATGTGCAAGAATCACCATTTTATTAGGCAAACATTTGAAATACGCTAGCAGCTTCATCTTCTTGTCGCTGCAGTCCTTGGAAGTTTTGCTATTTACTGAAGCAGGAAACAGATCAAACACGAGAAGCTTAAGAATCCAAGCTCGCTAGCCATTGTTCATATAGCACATGATGAATTTAAGGTACCATTGTAACATACAGAATGGCTCTATGCAAGATAATGGAAGTGTCCTTCTTCAATGGGCAGAAAACCTTTCTACCACGTGAACTCTGGCAGTAATCCATCATGCCTCAGTGTGCTGTGGCTAGTCAGAGAGCTATACAATCGGTCTCTCTGCCCATGGCACTCTCAGGGTTCAAGGCCACACATAAACTCCCCACCTTACAGACACGCAAGTAAAGCCCACTGAAAATGCTCTTCTCCAGACAGCTTACTGAAACCAGCTAGGAGTTCCCAGCATCACGCTGGGCACTTCTGTCCATGATGGCTTTGCTTTTAATGAATCCAGAACAGAGTTGCATTTTTTCTAGTCTTTAGCTCTACTAAGGTATTTGATGTAACATGGCGAGAAAAAATTTGTTTCGACAGTGATAAATAACAGAGGGGATAATGTACCTTTTGCTGCTATCTTCTTTTGCTGCTCCATTTTCCTTGCTTCGTTATTGCTTTCTGTCAAAGAAATGCCAGCAAAAGCCTTCATCAAGTCTTTCTGTGAAGACAGACAGCCAGAAAGTTAGAGAAACTTTGAACCTTTTCAAGACCCTTGTAGCACGTGTCTTGGTCAATTGGTATGCAGATCCTTTCTTCCAGCAGGACTTTTTTGCACTGTTAGCGCACATTGAACTGAATCCAGTACAAAAGCAGTGAATAGTGGAACTGTTCTCTTTTCATTGGAATGGTGATAAAAATGCATATCAAATAAAAGCATTTTAGAGCAGCAGGAAGATTTTCTATGTAGCTAGCAAATCATAAAAAGATGCATATTTACTGGTTGGGTTCCTTTCAGAATTTACAAGAATTCCAGACAGAAAACACAGCTTAGTAAACTGCAAATCTAAATCACAGTATCTAGAAAGGTGACATGAAAAAGAGCAAGAGGAAGAAAACCAAAAAGAAACCCAAAGGAAGCCAGAAATAAGGCACAACCTCTCCTCCTTTTCCGCTTACTACAGTACCTTAGAAGTACTTGCGAGTGTCCTAACAGTCACGTAAGTAGAAAACTGTGCCAAGAACAATTGTGGAAAACTGTGGAAAACCGTGCTATCCGAACAGAAACATAGGGTTTGCTTTCACGACAATTAAATCTGCATGCAATAAGTAAGGTAAGGATATGTTTTGTATATTCAAAAACAATTTTAAAATATTCCAAAATTGAAGGGGCTGCTTTTTATTTCTTTTGAATTACTTGGCTAAATATGGTGCACGTCAAAATACTGCAGAGATGTGGTTCATTTTAGAGATGCCAACTGTAAAGGAGGGAAGCATTTTGTGTGCTTAAGAAAGTAAAGTACTGGAGAGTGTTTTTGTTCCTTCTTCAGAAGGTTAGAATATGCGTAAAAGATGCTAGCTGGGGACTTACAATTAATGAATTATTTGCTGTCAGTAGGTCAAATGACATTAGCTTTCAAAAAGAAAAAGTAATCTTATTCCACGTGCCAATTCTAAAGTAGATTAATATTCCTTAAGCAGAATATGGATATGAAGAGGGATATGACATGAAAGGTTAATCAACACTGGTGACAGCAAAAGGCTTACCTGCTTCAAACAAATACAGGAGATAAAATACTATTTTTACACAAACATTGCTGTCTGGTTCGGTTGTCTGTCTCTGCCCGGACACGGGTAGGGTGGTTCTTGGGTGGCACGCGTTTCAAAGGACGAGTCTGGACTCTTCAGCTTTTCGACCTTCAGATTGTTTATTGTTTCTTATCTACAAAATTTTCTGTCTGCCCAACAGAGGTCTGATCTGCAAGGCAGCTAAGGGCACTCTGACCACCCACGTGGCGGTCATGTCTTTTTATACTAAAATCTACGTACATGATATTTACTTTCATTTTCCAATACTTTTCACCCATGTTGGCAAGTGCACCTTCACCATAAACCAATCTCCAAGTGCCAACATCACCACAGAAGATGGAAGACAAGAAGAAGAAAGAAGAAGGACGAGACACGCCCTGATCTCTCCATCTTGTCTCCATAACCCCCCTGTACCAAAAACCTTAAAGTTTATATTTCACCTTATAAATGTGTCCCTTTTACACCTTTCACTCTAAAGTGATTCTCATGTCTTCAAACTGCTGTCACTTCTGTGGATGGATCAAAATCAAGCCACCAAACACTCTTGGCAACATTCCAGGATTTCCAAGACCCCCAAGGGTTCTCCTGGCAACTCTGGACATCTGGAGTGATGTGCTGAGTTCCCACATCTCCCCCTTCTGTTTGCACTAAGAATACTTCTTTGGCAACTTGACTCATGACACGTCCCATACATAAAAAGATGCATGAGACGATGAGCATGAGGATTAAGAGTATTATTAGAATATAAAATCTCATTTTTAAAAATTCTCTCTATAAGGGAGAAAGATCAAAAAATCTCGCTACATCATTAATCTATGATTTAGTGATTTCGCTGAGTTTCTTTATACTGTCTTTTATTTTTTGAATATTTTCATGAATTGATCTTGAATGATTTGAGAGATTCATGTAGCACATTCTTTCAAACTTTTCACATCTATGTCTATGAGTAAGCAATAGATAATCGATTGTTGCTCTATTTTGAAGAGTTGCTTCTCTCACACTACTTATGTCTTTTAACATATCACTCAAAGCGAGAGAGAGACTGATTGAGCATGCTTGCTCAACTAACAACTCATGTGGTCTAGTTGAGTCAAGGCCACCTCTGACGCTGTCTGAAGTGAGAAAATTGCTGCTGCAATTCTCTTTGCTTTGTCTCAGGTGTATACTTCATCATCACAATTTGCACTGTAATGTTGCAAGAACTTTTTCTCTTTATGTTTTTGCTCTTTCAATACTTTCAAATCTGGTGATAACATTGAAATCTTTCTAATGTTGCATGGACTTCTTTTGGCATTTGCAGGAATGCTGTGCCAAATTTTGTCTCTACAAATTAAAAACAACTTATGTGGCAATTGCACTGGGACTTGGATTGATCTTTTGGCTGTTTTCTCGGTGTGATTGCACTAAGCTGATGCATTTTTATAAAACTTGTGATTTGGAATGACATCAACGCTTTTGTTTGTCTTTGACACATTCGAAATTTTGAATTTCATGCATAGTTCTATTGTTGTGGACTCGAAAATTTCTAATTCTTGCGGTTCGGTATAAGCCACAGGTAAAAGATGTGTCTAAGCACACTATTCATTCACAGGATCTTTGATGACTTGTGAAATCTCCATTGGAGAATGCTCTGGAATTGGCTATTCATCTACTGGCAACTTAACTATGCATGTTGTGAATGGTTTCTCTGGTTTCGAATGTGTCAGGCAGATACTTTCTAAGTTCGCTGCTTGGGTTAAAGTTTCTCAAACATTTTGTTTTGGTTGATTGATGGGTAGATTTGCTCTATTGCTTAAAGCAACAGATGAAAGCATGAGCATCATGAAGCTCATGACTTCATCTTTATGAAAAATCATTGTTATGTTTTCACTCAAAGCTACAAAGGAAAAACTTCTAAAGTTTTTATTCTTTTTGTCTCTCTTCTGAGTCGTTGTTCACAACTTGAGTTTCTTCTTCTGTCTGTGTGCTCGTTTCTTTGCTTCTGGGATCAGTGCTCTCTTGCTCTCTCGTCTGAAATGGCTTCACGTGTCGCGCTGACATTTACTTCAGACTTCGCTCTGTGGAAACAAGCGAAACTCTTGCTCTAAGTGATTAGTTTGAAAGGACTTTCTATTTGTCTTGTCTCTGGGTTTCTGATCAAAACTAAAGGATTCTCTCTTAGTTTTGCTTGAGAGCTGTTTGAAAAATGCTTCACGATTGGTGGATTGGGTTTTGAAGACGAACTGTTGAGAAAATTCAACACATACAATGCTTTGTTTAACTTCATGTGTGGTGTCGTCTCTGGCTCCCCCCTTTTCTGCTTATCTAAAAGGGATTTCAGGGTATGATGTGTTCTTTCAATGATTGCTTGACTTGTGGGTGAATGTGGAATCCTAAATGTGTGTTTGACACCCCGTCTTTTCAGGAATCTGTCAAGCACTTTGCTTGTATATGTTGGACTATTATCTGTTTTTATTCCTTGAGGTACACTTAATGATGCAAACGCTTGTAAAAAATGTCGACAAGCATGTTTTGCTGTTTTTCTTGCATGTGCTGAAGTAAAGACTGCTCTTGAAAATGTATCTACTGAAACATGAACATTTTTGAGTCTCTCAAATGATGGATATTTTATGACATTTGTTTGCAGTCTCGTGGGTTGACTGCTCTTGTCGAAGCAGGTGGTTGCATGAGTTGACAATCTGGACAAGCACTAATGATTTCTCTCGCTTGAGTTTTTGTGAAATGAAAGGATTCTATCAGCACTTGCGCATTTTGATGAAAAAATGCATGACTCAGTCGTGCTTGCTCAAAAATGTCTGGAAGTGTTTGTGAAATGGGCATTGTCAATCTGTCTGCTTGAGCATTCTTTTTTGCTAGAAATCTTGGAAGTGTTGTGTGCGCTCTGATGTGAGTGATGAAATATTATTTTTCTCTGCTTTCTAGCACTGTTTTCATGTTTGCTAGATAGGAATATAAAACTTCGTTGCTGACTTCTTTCAAGAGCGAACTTTCTAATTGCTTGACTACACTTGCAACATATGCAGAGTCTGTGACTAAATTGAGCGGTTGTTGGAACAACTGAAATGCTCGGATAACAGCTGCTAATTCTACAATTTGTGGAGAGCTTTGAACTGTCTTCACGTTCGATTCTTATTCCCCTGTCATCGAGTTTATCTATGTGATCACTGACTTGTGTGTCTTCTCTGAGCTATCAGTGAACACTGTGATCTCGTCTAGAGGTTCTTCACTTATTTTTGGCTTTGCTCTGTAACATATCTGTGACTGCAATATTCTATGTTGCGGAAAGTTGATTGTGCAAGCTCTTGGAAAAGCTAATAACGCAATTAACAAATCTTTTGATTTCTGCATCGCCCAATTGAAATAATCTTTCTTCAAAGGTAGATAAATCTTTGAAAATTCTCGTCTCGCCATTGTCAGCAATCTTGTTCTCTCTTTTATGATGATCTGTGCTGCTGTCTCTAAATCTGTCAGAATTGTCTTTGAAGGCTTATATGGTAAGAAAATCTACTCTATGGTTATTAAAGGATCTCTCTGAGTGCATTTCATTGGAAGATCAAACTATGGAATTGTGCTTTCTTTCTTAACATGCTAATTGAAAAGGCAACGATTCAATGAATCGATGTGCTTGTCTCTTCTGAATGGCATTTGTAACTTTCTCTAACTCTTTATTCACTTCTTCTGTGAGCGTCTTGGGAGATCGAATGTCTGCATCTCTTCTCAAGAGATCAAGCAACGCTGGAATGTCATTGTTTGTGATTTCAAAATCGACTTCATCTAGTTGATTTCTCTTAGAAGTTGTTGTAAATCATGCAGATTGTTGACTTTTGTGCTGATTTCTATCTTTTG